GACTGTATTGGCGACTGCCGTGGGGATTGCCTTGGCGACTTCCGTGACAGTTGTTCCAACTGCTGCCGTTGGTCGGCCCCATCCGAGGGAGTAGCCACCTCCCCACCGAAACCCCCGTAGCTGTAAAGAGTACCAGGGTCACCGGAAGACTCGCCTAAGAAGGTCTTCTTCTGGTTTATTATGTGCGTAAAGTCGTAAAGCATAATGTTTTCCCCACTGTTGGTAAAAGTTGAAAAAATCTTTATACTCACTAAATTGAAATATATGTAACAAGAAAATATAAACTTCTTCAGCAGAAAAAAGTACATGTAGATGTCTTCCTTCCCGCACAGAATTTTATATAAATGGTAATTAAAATTTGACATGGGTCCATCATTTGTGCAAATGTAGATGGAACACCACTTTTTCTTTTCTGCATATAGAAGCTCATATATGGTCAGGCAATTCTCCTTAATCATCTTGTGGTCAGAGTCGTACGGATTGGATGTGTAAATGAAGAATCGACATGAATTGGACAGCTTTTTTTCGTAATTATTAGAGTTAGCTTTTCTTCGGTAATAATCCTTTAGTACCTTTTTGACATGAACTGAAGTGACTGTTAATGCAGCGTCAGGGATGCCCCTATGTCCATTTACTCTCTTTCGCATTATTTTTTCTGGTTTGCGACGATTATATATTTTGCTTTCACTTTTATCGCCCCAGTCTTCCTCTGCGTTGTAGTTTTCCTTCCGGAGTTCCCTCATGGCTGTCTCCGTCGCTGTGTCTGTCGCTGTCGGCGCCACTGTCACGTTCTCCGCGTTCTTCTCCTCAGCAGCGTCGTCACGTAAGAGGATTTCCCTCGAGTCGAGGTAGCTCCTGTTGTTATGCGCGTCGATGCTCAGCCTTCTAGCGGTTTTTCCACTGCCGATGGAGTTGCACACTCCGATGGTATTGCCCCCGTTGAAGCTGCTCCACATGTCGGGACCATCACACACCTTGGTGCCGTTATACACGCTGGGATTTTTTAATGCGTTGAGACCCAGGTCTGAATCTGTGCTGAGGTTCATATTTGCATTTAAGCTGTGATCGAGTGGATCTCCTTTGTTCTTCTTCTCAATGGATATATTTTCCCCTTTATGGGTCTCTTCAAACACGGTGGCATTTAAGTTGCAGCTTTGCTCCCGCCGGTTGCTGCCACTGGTGCAGTAACTCGGGTCATCCGCTTTGACTTCACAGGGGGGAGTCGCAGTGGTGCTACTGGAACT